CTCTCTCTCTCTCTCTCTCTCTCTCTCTCTCTCTCTCTCTCTCTCTCACGCTCTCTCACACTCTGTCTCGCTCTCTCGCGCACACACACACACACACACACACACAGAGTCTGTGTAGCGGTACAGACTCCTTTCACCAAAGCCAGTTGGCAGCTCAGCTCTGACTGTGAGTGTACTGTGAGTGTCCCAGGTGCTGAGGCTTGGGGTTGCCCGGGCTCTCCCCATCAGTGGGTGCTGAGACAGGACTTCTTGGCCCTCTTCCTTCAGGCCAGGCTAACCATGCTGGCCCTGATCATCACCAGGGCTTTTCCAAAGAAAGCCTCCTATCCTCCTCCACATGGAAGACGTCTAACTGTGGCTCACACTCACCAAACCCCTTAAGAGCCACACGCACATTTGTCCTCACAATGGATGGAGATAGCACAAGGATTGGTCCCATTTTCCAGAAGAGGAAACTTGAGGCCTCAGGGAGGTGAAGGACTTGCCCAGGGTCACCCCCCAGAGCTCAATGCCAGGTTTCTCTTGCTCCTCTGTTTCTCTGGTCCCTCTGTGTCCTGTGAAATGTGAGCCTGATGCGCTGGTGTTGGGTGGGGCTCCCTGGTCTGCCTCTTCCCCAGAGCGGAGCTGGATGGGGGAGCAGAGAGATAGGACCCACGCAGGGATTGGGGGGGCTGCAGCTGCTGTGTAAAAGGGCCTGGAAGGGTGCTACCCATCCCCAACAGAGAGCCTTGAGTATGAGAGAACAGAGGTGGGATTGCAGGGGACTGGCCCTTTCTCAGTTGTAGTCATTCCTAAGACCCCTCCTGTTCCAAGAGTGTTGATAAAATGCATGGAGCATGAGGTTTCCTTGAGTTCCACCTCCCACTCCTTCCTCCGGCCCCACGTTGGTCTCTGAGCTTGCTTTCAGGCAGAGCTGCCTCTGCGTTCCGTTATTTGGCTCTCAGCTTGGGTCTGTGTTAGAGAAGGATTCTTGGGGTGGGTGGGGGCATCCTGTGGTGCTGCAGTTAGAGTTCTCTGCCCAGGACAGCGGGGCAGGGCTGACCCCTGAACCTGGTGTCAGGGAAGCCTCATTAGGGGTAAAGTGTATAGTGAGAGTGACTGAAGTATCACCACTTTATGGAGCAGATATGCTATCACATCATGCACATCAGCTGTGTGAAGGAGGCAGTCTAATAATGAGCTTGATTGACCAGGCCAGCGTCTCTGTAAGGGACGGAAGAAGCTTCTTCCACCAAGCTCAGTGGTCTCCTGTCTTCCTGCAGTTAGTCAGGCCTTGGTCTGTTTTAAGTGACCTGCTGGCCTTTCCCACCCAAGTGACAGCAGATGGATGGATTTCCATCTGGTCAGTTTTTCCTTGAGGCATCAGTGAGCAGGGAGGACTGGATTCAAATGTAGCCTGTCCGAGACAGAAGGAACAGTGCTGGAAGCAGGAGGACCTGAATTCCATTCCCACTTCTGCTGCTTACTGCTGTTCAAGGAGGACGAAGTGGCCCCTTCCAGCGACCATTCCCTGTGTGTCTGGTGCCCTACTACACAGATTCTTGGCACTTTGGACTCAGCAGGGGCCTCGGGGCAGGGCCATCCCCAGGACCCCGGCCCCTGCCTTATCCACAGCGTGAGGTCATTTCTGGATACCCTGGAGGTGCTGGGCATCCTCACGTGTTTGACTGTAAATCACAGGAGCCGTTCCCAAAGGTCTTCGGTCCTTGGGGTCCCTGCTCCAGGAACAACTTGGTGGGGGGGTGCCATTGGCTGCCTCAGACTACCACTAGAGGGCGCCCAAGAGCAACCCAGAGAGGCCGGGCCCACTGAGAACCAAGCCCTGCACACACACACATCTCCCTGGATCAGCATCTGCAGCCTTTTTTGGTCATTGGTTGTGCAGGGAAGAGGGGTGGAGCACGTGCAGGCTTCTTGGCACTTTCAGTGCCCACCCACCCAATCATGTGCCTGGGAGAGCTCCATGAAGCCTAGAATGGAAACTACAAAGGGTGGGGTTGGGGGGCGCACGGCTGAGGATCACCAGCACCAGCCTTTGTGCTCCCCCCAGCTCCTCAGGGTTTCAGGCCCTCCCTCCTGTGAGCCTTGGCTGGTCTCAGCTGCCTCCTCTGCATTCTGTGATTGCTTTCAGTGAATGTGCAAGGAGCAGAGTTAGCCACGTTTTAAAGGAGGAGGCAAAAGTTGGCTCAGCTGAAAAGTAGGCTCAGTTATAGGCCCTGAAAACTTTGCCGACCAAACACACCTTGTACTGTGGTTTTTGATAAAACTGGGCAAATCACAGTGACACTGAGGTGATGTTGAATAAACAAAGTTACCGAATTTAGGCATAGAAATGAGTGTTTTCCCTTCTCCGACCAGGGTTACTGTGGTTCGGTTTGGAGACTCCTCTGTAAGGAACATGCTTCTAAGCCTGAAGTGTGTTCTTTGGAATGCCCTCAGTGGCTCCAGTCTTTTCCTTTTGGGGGATGGCTGGATATCCCACAGAGCCAGGTGGGAATCCGGCTGATTTTTATGGGAGGTTCATGAGTCGCCTTGAAGGAGTCCAGGAAGTCTTGAGCGATGACACCTTAATGGAGTGATCACAGAGCCTCCTCACAGTTGACTGTTTTTCATTGATTCAGCAAACACTAAAATGCCTACTATGTGAAAGGCAGTATTGTCCTAGACACTGGGTGTATACAGAGATAAAATCCACAGAGTTCTGTTCTCTAGCAGCTCACAGACTAGTTCTTTACCTGGGCTCCATGAACCTGTTTTTTAAATATTTTGCTGACTTTAGTTCCACATCACTGGTTTCCTTTGTACACCTCTATTTTATTTTGTGCCCCTAAAACCAGGATTCTGAGCAGGGGTCTGTGGGCTTCTTCCCCAGCCTGACTGCCCAAGGGCCCAGGACACGCCAAAGATTAAAAACCACTGGTCTAGCAGATGGTTGGGAAGGGCTGCATTCGACTGAATGCCTGACTTCTGAGGCATTTAACCAATCTGCTTTGTACCCACTACACGTAAGGGAGAAAAATAGATGTTTGTGTTCGGCCTTTTCTTCTGTTAGCATGCCAGCTCCAAGAAGTCAGGGTTCATGTCTCTTATGACCAGTTTAAGCTTGTGAATGTATAGCAAGGGCTTCAGAGGAACTATTTCACTGGATCTTCACAACAACCCAGTGAGGTAAGAGGCGACAGTATCATCTCCATTTTACAGATGAGTCAGCTGAAGCTGGGGAGGTCAGGGACTTACACAGATAGGGTTGTGTAGCTATGGTTGTAAGTGACCAAGCCAGCTGTGGACCACACCCCCACCAAGAGGTTGATCCTCTAAGTCGTTTCTGTATCACCTTTCCTCTCCATTCCCAAGAAGCATAGCTGAACCTTCCTTTTCCTCCCTCCTCTGACGCCCAGGATATGGGAAGACTTTTCCAGTGGTTCATCAGCCAACCTCGAATTCTAGTGTCTCTGTTTTGGTTCCCAGTGACAAGTTGTACCTGCTGTTCATCTGACCACACGTCAGACTGCCTTTTTCTCGCTGCCTATAGAACAGCAGGCAAACTCAGTCAAGCACTGCGCCAAGGTCTTTCAGCCCTGTCTGCATTCTCTCTCAACACTCCCCCACCCCGCTGCTGTTTTCTGTAGTGGTGGTTATTTTCATCTCTGTTATGTCTTCAGCCAAACCACTGGATGATGAGTCAGTGTGTGGTTCTAGTTCTTCGGGGGAAGGGTAAATACTGGGAGCTTGAATGAAAAGTATTTTTCCACTGGGGAAACCCCAGAGCTCGGGGATACTCTTGCCCCAGTGGCATTTCCCAAAGGAAGGGACCTCATTTTGCTCCAACCCTGGTGGCGGCCGTGAACATCCGCCCCAGCAGTCTCCACTCCATAGAGCTCTCAGCCCCCCAGACTAGGAGTCAGGCACTCTCTGGCCTAGAAGTAACGTCCTCTCCTTTGTCCCCCTTGCTCCCACCCCTTCCAGGTTTCTGCTGTGCCTACTGTGCTGGCCATCAAGAATGGGGACGTGGTGGACAAGTTTGTGGGCATCAAAGATGAAGACCAGCTAGAGGCTTTCCTCAAGAAGCTAATAGGCTGCTGAGCTGGGCCTGCTTTTGTTTCCCCCTGGGGCCCTCCTAGAAGAACTCTAGTCCTTTCCAGTCCCCACCCGTCTAGCCCCCATTGGCCCATCCTGTGTCTTTCTGGGGAAGGTTTCATCATCTCCAAACTTGGGAACAAGGAGCATTTCTCAGTTACCTGACGGCAGAGGACTGGTCCTTAGGGAAGTGGAGCTGCTGCTGACCGTGGGAGGGAAAGCTGGGGATGGGAGCTTGGAGTGTTCTCGCCCTCCCATGCTTAATTCCTACCCCCCTCCTCCTGTCCCCACCGCCAAACCCACCCTAACCTAGGCCCCAATTGTGACCATCTCCAGAGGAGATGGGAGAGGAACCTGTTTCAGCAGGACTGCTTAATGGTGGGGTCTCCCTGTTTTGACTGTGAAATTTTTATCTTTTGTCTTCTGGTACCTGTGCTTTATCACAGAGGCTCTATGATCCTGTGCCTGACCTATTGCCACATTTTCTCCTCTGATGCTGTTTTGTAAAAGAAAAGAGAGTTACACATACATATGGATATGTATGTAAAATTCTCTCGTTTTTTGTAGGTCTGTAATAAAGAGAGCTTTACTGATCACTTCTACCTCCTGCTATGAAGTACAGACCCCATGGTACACCCTGAAATTCCCTAGTAACCACCACCATCTATGAGATACTTCCCTCGCTCCCCCTCTGCTTTCCAGCTGCAAGGGGGTGAGAGCAAGAACGGACCCTGGGAAGGAGGGGAGGAGCTCCTTAAGCTCTTTAGTCTGGTAGAGCCCTAAAGCCCTGCCTCGGCATCCTCCAGTTGTATGAGCCAGAGGTTTAACTGAAGAAATCTAACAAATAAAACCCGGGCTGAGCAGCAGAAACACCTACCATCCTTTCTGAGAGATCCACTTTAATCCTCTCTTGGGCTGGCCTCTAGTCTTTGTTTGCTTATCTAGTTGGTTCCCTACCTTGTTTACAAAAATGTGTACTTTTTCCCTTCCCAACCCTTGGCCTTTTCATTAAAGCGAGACAAGCCCACCACCCATGACCTTGCTTTCTATCATGGTTTTTTTGTCCCCATCCCTCCCTCTCCCTACCATAGGAGGTTGTCTAATGAGACCCGTCTGGCCTTCCAGCGAGGTTCCCTAGGGATCCCTTCCAGGACAAACAGGCTTTCTTGGTCCTTTGTTTGTGCTTTTGCATAAATCTTTTCTATATCTTTGTCTCTGTAGGGTACTGCCTCATAGTAGCCAGAAAGGCTATGTATGTTCCCCAAGGTTACGTCTTCCAGTTGCAGGGCCCTGAACTGCTTTGGCATCCGCTGGCTGGTGTCCCCATTGCCCTGTTGTGCTGCTGCCTTCTAATAAGTTAATTAATGGAGAGGGCTTATTATCCACAGTGCAATTGAGCTGCCATTTCATCCCATAATATCACAGGCTGAGACCAGGATGAGACAGATGAGTAAACAAGCTCAATGAAGAGATTGGCCCAAGGTCATAAGTAGTGAAAGGAGCAGGATTTCAATGAGGTACTTTCCATTCCACTACTTTGCTTATCTGATGTTGACCCTTGGTTGATTTACAGATGGTTTTTATTTTAGTTGCTTATGAGTGGGAACAATAAGTTTATAACAGATAAAGTATTAGCCTTGGAGTCAGACCTGAGTTTGGATCCTCCTTCAGATGCTACCTGTATGACCCTGAGGGAGTCACTTAATTTCTGTCTGCCTCAGTTTCCTCATCTGTAAAGTGAGGGGGTTGGACCCAATCTCTAAGGTCTTGATCTGTGATTCTATAAACTCTGCTTTTATCTGTCACACTATGAATGTAACTCAAAATTGTGTGCCCAAGTCTAATTTTTATCTAAGTTAGGGACACCATAGAATGGGGAGGGCTAGTCTAAATGGTTTGCAGAGTTCTGGCTCTAAGGGTCTAGGGCAGTCATGGAACCTGCTGGAGAACTACTGTGTAGAAAGTTTAGGGGGGTGGGAAGGCCAGCAGCAGCTATGTTGCACACACTGGAAGAGTAGGATCTTAGCTCTAGCTTCTAGCCCAGTATGAAGCCTGTAGGGGAAGGACCAAGGCAAAGAATCCCAGGCCATGAGGGTCCCCCTGAACAGGCAGAGTTTTCCAGGTGGCTGAGTCCAGCAGTATTCTACTGAAACACCAAATGGGGCAAGTCCACGGGTGTGTTGGTCAGATCTAAACCCAAGTCAGGAAGCTGCACGGCCCAGACCAAGAAGGCAGAAATCAAACTTTGCTTTAGCTCATACCACTTTAAGATCACTGAAAGCTTTTAAGTCTGCAGCCTGAGCTGTCCCTGAGATCCTGAAATATAATATTCAGTATAATGAAATGAAAGTACTGGAAGAAAAAATGGGAAAAGAAGTGAGAGCTATGGGAAAAAAAAGATTTGGAAAGGGAATTGACAACTTGAGATGAGAGGTACAAAACTGCCAAGCAACAAACTTGCTGAAAATTGAATGGATCAAGTAGATGGTAATGACTTCATAAAGCAATGAGAACTATTAAAGTCAAAAACCTGAGGGAAAAATAGAAGGCTTAAGGCATCTTATAGCAAAAATACTGACTTAGAAACTGTCAAGAAAGGGACAGCTAGGTGATGCAGCGGATAGAGCACTAGCCCTGGATTCAGGACACTTACTAGCTGTGTGACCATGGGCAAGTCACTTAACCTCATTGCCTAGACAATAAATAAATAAAAATAAGAATATTTAAAAAACTGTCAAGAAGAGATCATTTAAAATAAGACTACTTGAAAGCCATGAAAAAAAAAAGCCTAGAAAGCGTATTTTAAGAAACCTTAGAAGAAAACTGCCCAGATCTCTTAGAATCATAGTTCAAAGTAGGTAGAATCCATTGGTCACCTCCTGAAAGGAACCCCAAAATGGAAACCAGGACCATTACAGCCAAAATCCAGAGTTTCCAGAGCAGAGGAAAAACATTGCGAGCAGTTAGAAAGAATGAATTAAAATGCTGAGAATCTTGTCAGGATTACAGTTGAGCAGGCATCACCATAGAGGAGCAGTGAGCTTGGAATGTGATATTCCAGAAGGCAAAGGATAAGGCTTGCCAACAAGAACTAACATAACTGGATAGAATCCTGTTGTGGGGAATGGGGCTGGGGTGGGGGGAGGGAAGAACGGACCTTTAATGAGATAGAGGACTTTCAAGCATTCCCATTGAAAAGACCAGAACCGGGTGTGAGTGCTAATACTGGTCAAGAGAAACAAAGAAAACCATGATAGAACATGGTAAGGATACATCTCATGGAGAGGAGATACAAGTATCCCTTCAGAACTTTCATCACATGGGACGCTAATTGAAAGCAGAGTTTGGGAGTGTTTCTGTTGTCGTGATCTTCAAGAAGAATGTGAAGGTAGCAAGTGTGTTGCACCTAATGTGTACCAAGCACTTTACAAATATTTCATTTGTTTCTCACAACAACCTAGGAGGGAGGAGCTGTTACCGTTTCCCATTTTACAGTTGAGGACACTGAGGCAAACAGGTTAAGTGATTTGCCCAGAATCGCACAGCTAGTATGTGTTTGAGCCAGGATTTGAATTTGGGTCTTCCTGACTCCAGGCCCAGCACCGGGTCATCTAGCTGCATGAGTGGAAATGAAAAAGGAGAAGAGGAATACGCTGGGAGGAAGAGGAAGGAAGCAAAATGGGGAAATTACCTCATGATTGGGGTATACAAGTCGAAATCTGTACTAAGAGGAAGGAGTGGGGCTTGTGTGTAACTCTTGAACCTTGTCCTCATCTAAACTGGTCAAAGGAGGGAAGAATGTTCACAGTTGGCTACAAAAATGCATTTCATTCAGTGAGGCGAGGGGGAATGAGGAGGGGAGATATAGGGAGGGATGAGTGCTCAGCAAAACAAACTCTAAGGATGGGCGAACATTAATAGCAGCTACTTCTGCCCTGGCAAAGGATTGAAAATGGAGTGCCCAAAAATTGGGGGATGACTGAACAGGTGACAGCATGTGATTGTGATGAAATAAAAAATGAGGACAGGAACCTGGAAATTCCTGCTTGAAATAAGGGGGAGTAAAGTGCGCAGACTCGGGAGAACAATTTATGCAACATGATAAAAACAACTCTGAAAGACTCGGGAGCTCTGATCAGTGCAATGACCAGCCTCAATTCCGGGGGACTCCTGATGAAACGTGCTGCCCCTCTCTAGATAAAGAGGTGATGGACTCAAATAGCAGATCAAGGCCTTTTTTTTTTAACCCGACACGGTCAATGCAGAATTTGTTTTGCTAGACTATGTGCGTTTGTAACGGAGGTCTCGATTCTCTTCCTCAGTGAAGGTTGAGGAGTGGAAAGGGGAGAAGACAGATTTTTGCTGATTGGAAAAAATTAGGAAGAGGAAGGAATGTACTGGAATGTGGTCAACAGCCCTTTTGACCTCTGTCTAGTACCATGGGCGAGGTCAAAGAGTCTCGAAGGGGATCACGGGCAGGCCTAAGAAATGAAGATGGAAGAGCGACAAGAGGGGGGCTGCGGACAGCTGACCCCCGTGATCCAAACTACCAGCCTGTGTAAAAGGGTGCTGCGAGAGTCTCTGGCTGCCCAATTTCTCCTGCTTCTCCAGAACCTCAGGGTTCTGTTCAGACAATCCTATTCTGCCCATGTCACCTATGAATTGGCTGCTGGAGCCCCCCTGTATTTGTGATGTTACGCTCAGGTCACTCAGAGGCTGTGCCTGCCTGAGAAGGGGCTGGGTCAGAGACTGCCCAGATGTGCTGCCTGCATAGTCTGAGCCCGACTTGGGGAGTGGCACCCTTTACTAACAGCCACAAAATTTATTGTCAAACAACTCCCTTTTTCTCTGGCACTTAACTCTCAAGCATCCTGTGAGTTAGATAGTGCAAGGATTAGTCTTTAATTACAGATGAGGAAGCTGAGGTGCCAAAAGACTTACCTAGGGCCACACAGCCAGTGAACTGCATCACCAGTATTCAAACTGGGGTCTCCTGCCCCACCTTCTCCATACCTAGCGCTCTTTCCCCCACACTGTACTGCCCCTTCCAGGGTCCATTTCCAGTCATCCTGATCTATATCTGGCCACTGGACCCAGATGGCTCTGGAGGAGAAAGTGAGGCTGGTGACTTTGCACAGCCTTGCCTCACTTAAATCCAATTCACCTGCAAGTCATGGCATTGCCTCCCTGATGTCATGGTCCTCTTGGAAAATGAAGGACAAACAACTACCCCTGCATGAGTAAAGCAAGAAAAGGTCTCTTATAAATGAGGTGACTAAAGAAAGCAGCAGCCTTCCTCAGAGCGAGGTTGTAAGCATCAGGTCAAGGGCAGCTGGTGACAGTTGTGTGGGTCCCCTAGGGCCTGACCGGTGCTGTGCACACAGTAGGTTGCACACGGGTGCACAGAGGCTCAAGGACAAGCTATGTGGAGCGAGACTCCCCTAAAGGCAGCCCTGTCCTAGCTCATTGTCACTCTCTGGGCCTCAGTGTCCTCATCTGTAGAGGACGGAGTAAATGAAGCCCAAGGTCCCTCCCAGCTCTTAGTCCAAAGATCTTAGGGAAAACAGCTGGCCCCTTTTAGAGTCCATACTGGGGAGGGCGGCACTTTAGAAGAGGTTTGTTTTCTGTTATTTGGCCTTTAAATTGTTTTGATGAAAAGAAGCTAATGAGCTTGTTATGATGAAGGGTATGGACGAGATTCCATCCAGCTCCATATCTACAATGTTTACTCTGGCAGGACCTCAGTTTTTGGATGACCGGACACCACCAAGCCATTTCCAAAGGTTACTGAGTTTTACTCTCTGAAAGGGAGCGTGTCCACAAGGCCACAGGGGAAGAAAGCGGAGGATTTAAACAGGAAGGGACCTCAAAGGTCAACTAGTCCAACCCCCTCATTTGCTAGAGAAGGAAACAGGCCCAGAGATGGGGAGAGACTGGTCCAAGGTCATATAGGGTGCTGAGCCTATTCTGGTACATTGGATTCCAAACCTCAGTCAGAAGGTGGGCGGTTCTGCCAAGCAGGAGGGTGGAGGCATGT